CCCACTTTATCAACGCAATCGAAATTACCGTGTGTAACCAGCAACGTTACACATCACATCACGACGACTAGCTCCTGAAAAGTTAAGGTTAGCGAAAAACGAATTCGATCATATGATAGACTTATTATTATTATTATTATTATTATTATTATTATTATTATTATTATTATTATTCACAAACATCTTATGTGTACATAAGTGTTGTGAAGAAACCATTTCGGGTTTCTTCAGAAAATGCAATAATACACAATTTTCAATAATGTTAGCATTATACTTGCCATATTTAAAAAATAAAATATTTAAAAAAAATTTAGAATAATAATAGTAGAATATTCATAATAATAAATCGGGTCTGTGTAATTGAGAAGAATATTGAATTGAGTTTAAAGAGGGAAATGGAGAAAATAAGAGAATAGAAATAAAGGAGACGTGAAATACGCAAACAGTGTAATAAGCGTGTTTATAAACACAGAACAAGAATAAACGACTATGTGTGTATCGTTAAATTAGTAACAAAAAATAATTTATCATTGTAGTAAGATATGACACTAGAATAAATGTTTGTGCAGTTATAGTTTAGTGTGATGCTATGAAAGTCACAATTAAGTGAAAAGGATAATAAAATATCACTCTGTATGAGTCATATATGCATAGTGAAGGTAAAACGAATCTGAGAAGTTAATTAAAGTGTAACACAAGTTATTGTCTTAATTACAAACTTTGTAATCTTAAAAATAAGATTTATTTAGAAGGGAAGAAGAGAGAGAAAAGAAGTGAAAACCTAGTGAAAAGGTTCATCCATGATAAGAATAATAATTGTGTAATGAATATCAACCTCAGAAGGAAACCAGCAATTGAAAAAATAAAAAATAAAAATCCTTTAAAGCACTCGGATGAATACATTTAGACTTATGTAATAGTATACAGAATGAAACCGGATATTAGTATAAATATTTGTGCAATAATAATTAAGATTGATGATATGAAAGTCAAAATGATTTCAAAGGACAATCTGGAGTTAAATATGTTTAGAAGGATAAGAAGAGATAAAGAGAATATCTAATGTGTCGGGGAATTAATAATGATATTAATAACGGTAATAATGATAAACACGAACATAAGCAGACTTCATATATTAAGATAAAGAGAAATAATACAAAATAGACGTGAAAAGATTTAAAGTTTTTATTTTGCTTTTCAAGCAATTAAATAGATGACGGACCTTGTTTGTATAAATCATTATTGAATACATTGATATTCAATAGGTGACATAATCCACTTTCGGAAAGAAAATCTTCAAGGAGACTTTTGAACCGGGTTGTAGTTTCACTGCAACGGAGGTTCACTGGCAGTCTGTTCCACATGGTTGAGTAGCGAATAAGGAAAAAATTCTGACGTAAGTTTGTGTGGGTTCTTGGAATCGCTAGAATGTTCTCCTTATTGCGTAGATTGTAGGGATCATACGACCGTCAAACAGCCTTTATGCATCTCCGTCGCACATGGTCCCTAAAAAGGACAGCAACGATTGGTGTCCAACTGGTGACTATCGGAGATTGAATGCAAAAACCATTCCCGGTCGTTACCCGTTGCTTCACATTCACGATTTGACAGCTACCTTGAAAGGTACAACTGTCTTTTCAAAAATGGACTTGGTTAAAGCGTATAACCAAATTCCCATGTCCACTGACGACATACCGAAAACAGCTATCATCACTCCCTTTGGACTCTATGAATTTTTGCGAATGCCTTTCGGTCTAAAAAACGCTGCTCAAACATTACAAAGATTCATAGACGACGTTTTTTGAGGTCTTAACTTCGTACATGCGTATGTTGATGACTGCCTAACTGCAAGTCCGGACAGAGAATCACATCTCAAGCATCTGGATCTTGTTTTCGAACGATTACAAAAACATGGCATTACTGTAAACGTTCAGAAATGCCATATCGGGACCGACTCGTTAGACTTCCTGAGACACACTATCGATGCTCAAGGCATTCGACCTCTTAGGACCAATGTGGCGGCCATTCTGGATTACCCAGAACCGACCAACATCAAGCAATTACGCACGTTTAACAGCCTGGTAAGTTTCTATAGACGCTTCATACCGAAATGCGCATTACTTATGAAACCTCTTACCGACCAACTTCGTGTGAATGCGTAATCCATTAATTTGGACGACACCGCACGAAAAGCATTCTCCACAGTTAAGGAACTGATCGCTAAAGCAACAATGCTCGCACATCAGGACACCGAAGCACCCATTAGTATCGCAGTAGACGCATCCGACTAGGCAATCGGAGGAGTCCTACAACAATGGGTTAACAACTCCTGCCAACCCTTGGCATTTTTCTCTAGAAGATTGCTAGACACCGAATCGAGGTACAGCACATTCAGTAGGGAACTCCTATTTATGTATTGTGCTGTACGGCATTTTCAACACTATATCGAAGACCGTGAATTCATTCTTTTCACGGACCATAAACCGCTCACTTTCTCGTTGAGCTCTCCTTCTGACAAGTACTCTCCCCGTGAGTCTGGACAAGTGAACTACATTTCGCAGTTTACTTCAGATATTCAACATATTTCTGGAGCAAACAATGTAGTTCCAGAAGACAGTGATCTTCAGCACGATTTATCGTCCGCAACCCTTAAACTACGCATCAAACAGATGGGAACAGGTAAGGAAACCTTACTTTGTGACACATCTACAGGTGGGGATCGCCCAATCGTGCCGAAACGTTATCGACGCAATGTCTTCAATTCAGTGCACAAACTTTCTCATCTAGGCGTTCGTGCAACCATCAAGCTTATAGCAGAACGGTTTTGCTGGCCTGGCATGAATAAAGACGTGAGGGAGTGGGCACGCTCCTGTGTAAGATGCCAAAAATCTAAGGTCATCAGACACAATAAATGTCCCTTAGGCTCATTCAAAACTCTCGATGCTCGTTTCGACCATGGTCATCTGGATTTGGTAGGACCTTTACCAGATTCAAATTGATACTCTTACCTCTTAACTTATGTAGATCGTTTTACTCGATGGCCAGAAGCAGTACCTATCAAGGACATCACTGCTAAAACAGTGTCCCGCGCCTTCGTCGAACGATGGGTAGCAAACTTCGGTTGCCCTTCAACCATCACTACAGACGTCAGTTCGAATCAGAACTTTTCGGTCGTCTGACCACACTATTAGGAATCACTCGCTTCTGAACGACCGCCTACCATCCACAAGCAAACGGGTTGGTAGAACGTTTTCACCAACAACTAAAAGCTTCACTATCAGCTGCAAACGTTTCACAGTGGACCGACGGTCTTCCACTCGTCTTACTAGGTATCTACAATGCAGTAAAGGCTGAAATTGGAAACACTGCGGCTCATCTCGTTTATGGAACGACACTTCGACTTCCAGGAGGATTCGTGGATCATTCATCCTCTTCAATGAGCATGGATCTAACCTCTTACACGAGCAAGCTTACAAACGTAATGCGTTCAGTTAAACCAGCTTCCACACGACCACAATCCACCGATGTTTTCGTTCAACCTGACTTACGATATAGTACACACGTTTTTGTTCGTCGAGACACACATCGACGACCGTTCGAATCAGCATACGAAGGTCCTTTCAAAGTACTTCAACGCGAATCTAAGTACTATATGGTCGATAAGAACAGAACAAACGATAGCATCAGCATCGATCGATTAAAAGCAGCGTATTTAGAAGGAAATCCTATTCACGTTGACTTTCCTTCGGTACAATCGCACAACACGACTCCTACACTCATAATTCCTCAACCGACAACCAACACTAGCGATGACACTCCGAATATGTCTGAAAATAAACTTAAAACGACACGTTCTGGAAGAAGAATAAGATTTCCAGAACATTTAAACGACTACTGCACGTAAGGCACTACTCGACATTTTATATTATCTCGAACTTTCTTTTACGATATATAATATTTTGAAAAAAACAATTTTAATATGCTTATATATTTACATTTTTATTTCAAAAACAAACAAACAAAAAACATATTTTTTAACGCTATTACGTGTGCTTGAGTTTATTTTCCATTTTTTTCGCCGACATTGTGTTTTTACGCATATACGAGTGTATTTCGACATGCACTTACATTTTTTTTTTCTGTTCCAGGATGGTTGGAAAAGAACGATGCAGTTTACGAGGAGCCGAAATTTTCATTGTACTTTTTCTTTTTTTACTATGTTGTACCTCGGTCCCATATAGTAAGGAAAGACGACCAGACGCTGCTAAACCTAGTAAGCTATCAGAAGAGTGTTTACCAACGACAGAATCGTTGGGTTTAAACTTCTGGCTGGCCACGTCTTAGGGTCATCACTGCCCCACTAGAGGGGGGGGAGTGATCTGTAGCGGTAAATAAATCCCCGAAATAAATAGCTCTGTAAGTTTTCAACATTGGATGCTGACCATATGTTTTAGTGGACTCATCTAGCTGAATGCGCTCGGTCATGCATCCGCACCAGATCACGTGTGGTCACGCTGTGCTCAACATCTACCGCCAAATACACTCTTCCGATCTCCTCGAATCTGTCTTTTGGTTTCTCTCGGTGGAAACAAATTATATTAGGTGTTACTGGTAGAAGCGTTGTCAAACACTGAATACCTGTCATCCTTCAACACAATGAAATTATACCTAACCCACTTATCATCTTTACAGTTCCCTCTTTATTCTTTCCTCTCTATCTTCTCGCACTGCATGAATCGCCATTTTGAAAGATTGTTTATTTATTTGTTCGCTTCTTGTAACAATCGACTTCTAGCTATCGATTTTTCTCTTTATTTTTCAAACCGTGACCAACGCGTCTCATACCTAGTAATATGAGAACTGCTGTTTTCACAAGGCTTACTATTGTGAAGAGAACTCACTTTCTCAGACCAAAGGTTATATGTCCACAATGAAACAACGAAAAGCCAGTTAATTTTGTGTAATCTTGGTACGAAAATATTGGATATTGAGATAACTACATTGTGCTGGTGATTGGCGGATATTTGATTGTGGATCTCCACAGCTGTTGCAATGGATAAATTAAAGCAGTTGTTTTCACGAGATGATGATGAACAAGGAATATTCACAGACGTATGCATGAAGAGAGTTTTACGACTTCTTAGGTCGAAAATGGTTGTTCTTTGAGCTGGAGTACACGTATTAAAGCGTTTATCATATGTTTAGTAGTGGGTGTCGTGATGTCACTAATGGTAAAAACCACATTTTTTGCTTACGATCTAGGGATCCTTATGTTTGTGGTTGCCTGGAGCAGGTATCACACTCTTTGCACTGTTTTATACGCTTGGCAACATATGTTCTTTGGGAAGGTAATAAGTATTATGTATTATTGAAGTCCTACTAGCACGATTTTCCTGATGGGACCCGTAAGTCAGTTAAAGCGTATGTTTCAGGAGACTAGAATTTTCGCAGCAGTAATCATGCTGGTAAGGTCACCTTTCCACTATTTTTTTACGTACAAATAATGCGATTCAGGTATGCTTGGTTCTCACAATCGTTTTCGCACTACTGGTAAATATTATTTGTAATAATGTCCAACATATATAGGGTCTTCGTCTCCTGTGCTTAATATTTTGCATTCTCCAATCGTTGGCGTTGACATGGTATTCACTTTCGTACATCCCTTATGCTAGGTAATCCCGTTAGTTATTTGTTCAATATTTCTGTCATGTTTTTGATTATATTACTGTGCTTAACTTAATATAATTTCAAATAATTGATGTCTTGGCTAAGCTGATTTTTCGATTTCTTCATCAACATTTCCTTTGTGGTTAGATCTGCATTCGGTAACATTTTCGTTAAAATAGTTAATCTCCAGTATTTTTATCACATGCTTGCATAAACCGATCAATTTCATTGAGCTCGCTTCTCGTTGTTTCGGTACGGGTCTAGGCATTTGATAATATCTACTAGGTGGTAATCTAGCCTCGACTGGATTAATTCTAGTCATCTTTTAGTTGGTAATTTCGTGCTAGTTGGTATTCGTTAACAAGGAGTATCTGCAACTGTTTGGAAACTAAACAATATCGATTCACTTGGACTTATGTTCACATTCTAGTTCAATCGACAAAATTTGATCGCACTCAGGTCCAAACAAACATGAAATTAGTTTTAATCACTAAGTGATTGAATACTCTCAATCCTACGGACCATTCATATCCCAAATAGCTCATCAGTAATCTCAGAGTGTACTACTAGATATTGTGAATACAAATCCTATTGGACCCATTAATCCACTCAATGTTCCAGGTAAATCTTGCTAATGAGTGCTAACTAGCACGAAACCTAGTTTCAGGGTTGCTTACCGACTACCTCCATCCATGTAATATGCAATTTAATAAATATATTAGTTGACATACTGTAAATGGACGTGTTTCATAATTCATGTCTACTTCGCTACTTCTAAAGCGTTTCAAAAACGTGCTTAAAAGCACCTTAGGTTACGTGGATACTTAAAGTCTCGACTTTATTAGTACTAACCACAAATAGTGTTAAACAAAGATGTCCATTCCTGCCATAAGTGGCATACACAAAGCATTTTGTAATTAAGGATTCAAAAATGAAAATGATGACTTGAACCGAATAAAGACTATCTGTAGTGTTAATATTTTATTTATTTATTTGAACACATAAATATTGATACAAGAGGGCACCAAATACATATGCGCCACACGTAGTGTTAATAACATTTTCTTGTTCTTTAGTTTTCAAGAGTCATTGTTTATTGGTGCTTGAATGAACTGGTACAAGCACAAAGTAATCAGTATGTCACTTTGAATGTTAAATAATCGTTAGTTTCGTAAATATTTAGTGGCGAATTTCAACTACTTAGGGTGAATACCAAAGAGCCGTAAAATTAACTCATCCAAATTACATCGAAGTAACCTTATTATTAAAGTATGTCTCAATTTAGACTGACGGTATTTCGAAAATGTACCGGTGTGCAAATTACTGCTAGTATTGAGAATAATTTATTCACAGTGATTAAAACATCGACATAATATTCCACAACCATGTAATCTTGCATATTTTCCAAGAATTTTCTCTAGTTTGTCACTAAATAAACCATCATTACAAGACGTCTGTTAATCATTACTTATGGAACAAATAGTATACATCAAACTTGACATAACAATTGTGACTCTGAAACTTTTGAACATACCTGCACTTAGTATTAAATTTTAACATGGTGATAACTGAATTTTCCTGGACTATTTCTACTCTTTATACTATGTTTAAAGTTTAGATACCAATTATTTGACAAGATCGGTAATAAAAAAGTTTGTAAACTAGATTTTATCGGTTAAACTCTTACTAGTACCATGAGGTTCATATCAAGACCAGTATAGAGTAGAGCTCAATTTATTGTCTGTTATTACTTAAGGGTCATAACTAGCTTGATGCTTGCACCAAGGGAGCAGTTAGCAGGAACTGACTAGTTAATTGCAGAGGTCTTTAAGTGCAGTGACCCAAGATCTTATCATAGGATTAGTTAATATGTTAAATAAAGTTAAGGAGCTGAACACAATTCTGTCCTACTAATCCTCATTACTAAGAGTTGATGCTTACAAGAAGGGACAAAAATCTTATTGTAACGACAGAAATTAATCCAACTGATATAGTTTATCAACCATTCATTTCTACAGTTATATTTGATGCTTAAGTACAGACATTTCCTCCAGTAAATTTACGAGTATTAGCCTGTAGCAGTGAAATTTTGTCCAATTTGTTAATGGCAATTCTTTGACTCACTTGGATAATGTAAGAAGAAGACGAAGGTTATCATAATTATGTGGAGTCTTAGCGCAATCCATTTCGAACAATTTGATCGCATATGTTAAGAATATTTATGTATAAAAATATAAGGTTAACTAGACAAATTGAGTGTAGGAGAAAACGATCTTATGACCCATTGCCCGGTCATAAGGTTGATTTTAACTCGGTTTTCGTGGTATCGTACAAAAGTGTTAAATGACGTATACCACGGTATATTGAAGCCTTGGCCATACGAAATTTCAAAACTCTCTGTGTATTCAGAAACTGTTTGTTCTCACCTTAAACCTACCCTAGTAATATTAGTTTGTTATCCTGCGTGGCAAGTTTTACACTATTTTTGTTTTCTCTTACCTTCTATTTGTTTAATTGACCTAATTTCGCATATATAAATGTTTTAACAATTATATGTATGAGCAGATCGTTCGAAATGTATTAAGCTATTATGTCACATAGTTCTGATAATCTTTCTCTTATCACACTATCCAAATTTGACTCGTTTGCCCAGCCATTTATTCACATTTTAAACGTTCATTTATATTCAATAAGACTTTTGAATAAAAATGAGACACAAAAATACCATAAATTTCAACTACACTTGTACTTATTTGTGCTAAAAGCATATACAAAGTGTTTTACTATGTTTGTGTAACCTAACCTCTACGAGTTGGGGATGTTAAGTGACTTTATTTGATCATCGTTGTTTTCGAAGGATTGCTGACATTCAGTGGTAATATGATGTTAGTTATGTGGGTGTTCGGTAACGTGTGTTCGGACACAGTGACGATAATTCAATTATTGTCACCAACTTGAAACACCGACTTCTTTTGCTTGGACATGTACTATGAATGTCGTATCAGCGAGTTACATATCGTCTATTATTTGCCGACGCTGGGACCGGTTGGAAAAAATTGAGGTAGTCGGTGTATGACATAGTACTGAGTATGAAAGGAAGCTGTACAGGACTGGCATCTGTCGGTTCTTCATGACTTCATGGTTGGAAACTTAGAGATAATGTAGCACATTGGCCGTGGAGACGTTAACAGACATGGCTCAAAATAGAAGTCAGTAACGATTCTTCTGTAACTTTCTTTTACTTGATGAAAGTGAGAGTAACTTCTATATCTGAAAGAATGCTTTGTGGTTGTACTTTTTTAACTGAACTGCTTCTCCAATTATTACTAATGTTATTTCACTCATACACTCATTTCCATTCAATTTTATTGGTTTTATTCTTATCAAACTAACCCTCGTTTCTCTGTCTGTTAACGATCTCATTTTCATTGTGTGGCGCATGTATATTATGGTGGCCCTATATACCAATATCTGTTTAAATAAAATTGTGCTAAAAACATAAACAAATTGTTTTGATTACTCATTACTAATCTGTTAAAGCATTTATAGTAGCGTTAGTTATGACGGTTTTCCAATTTCATCTTAACAGGTAATACTGTCTGGCTTTATGACATTTTAGTTCACTGTAGGTTTTTCATTAGCTAGGTTCTAATGAAAGATATCTGTACTTATTTTTGAGATAGACCAAACACTAGTATTCTATATTATTAGATATACTAATATTGTTGCGCATATATTCTGTGCCAACTTTGGATGACACAGATATGCCAGTTTGTATATTATTTATAACTAGCTCACTGGTATATGTTAACTTGTGTGAATAAATAAGTTTCAATAGAGCAGTGATTTAATATTGTAGATACTCCATCTTTCATTTGAGAAGTACTATTCTCATGGTGCACTTTATACACTTCGATTTAACTGGCCGATTAGTATTAGTACCAGTCAAACAAGTAGGCTTGAAGTCCCTTGAATACAATTGATCTCTATATTCCACTTGAGTAAGGGAATTCTCGGAGTTCTATTGAAAAGCCGTGACTAGTGGAACCAATCCGTATCGGGTAGATTCAGGTATCTACCTCAGTACAATGAAAGATCGTCGATCGATTTCGTTGATTAGTTGAAGTTAGACATTAACACCGCTGGATGCCGGCCGACTCAGTGGCGTAGTGGAGAAGTAGGATTATTAAAGCAGTACAATGTATTTTAAAAAGAAAATCTCTTTCAACTATTCTTTACAACATACGACATTTTATGGATTATTCTATTCATTTGATTATATTTTACCTTTTATCCCCTAACCCATGATAGTCTTTTGTTGCATAACGTAATATGCTTATATGTCTTATATATCTCTTACTAATAACTTAACTATATTTCATTATTATCTTGTTGTTTACAGGGATGCAGTGAAACGATTATGTTCTTCATGTGTTGGATGAATTTTCTTCTTTTTTTTATATAAATATATCAGATTATGAATAATACTATTTATGTAAAATTGCAAAAAATCGACAACTACATCAGACTATTATTACTGTGTGTAACTGATCTCTGGCGCCTGAATTTGTAATATTCCTCGATTGGTTTGATGTATTTTTTTATCTTTTCATTTTTGCAATCTCTTTGAATATGACTATGTTTTTCTTTTTGTTTGTCGTAAACTAACAAACAAATCCTATGGATTGATCATTTATCTCCATGTGAACAATTTATTCTTCTGATTAACCAGTTTTTATGGATCGATCAATGTGCCTTCAAAACTTTGTACCTTAGATATGAACCAAAGAATATTAATTCCTTTTTTTATAACATTATGATTTGTGATCTTGTAACGTCATTATACCATGGTAAGTTGTACTGTTGTGATACAAGCTGAAATGAAAATATGTTGTTTTAAGTCTTTATCTGTTCTTTGAATTTATATCAACAACAACAACAAAAAAAAGCCCGGTTCAAATCCGATTGAGTAACATTGCTTACTTCATAAGTGTATATACTTGGTCCCTGAGATGTTCTGATTAGTTAAACTTCTTATAGCCATTCAGTTATTCTATTTACAGTAGATTCAAGTGTATTACCTTGGTTTGTTTGAACATCCTATGCATAAACCGATCGTGATTATGTCTAAGTGATCTACATATTGTAGTGTTTTCTTCCATTTGATCATGTAGTGAACTAAATAATGAAAAAAAGTACTTGTTTATTTTTTTTTCAGGAGGCCTCTTTTTCTTACTGATTATGCTAGCTATTATCTAACGAATGAAATAAACAGTATTGTTATATCACCAAAGTGCTTTGAATCAAATGCCCTGGTATGGCCGAGAGTGGAGTGGGCTCGCCCTCCCTCTCAAAATACTCTCACACGGCCACGCGTATACAGACTCTGCCAGGGAAGTCCTACTCACTGCTTTCTCGTGGCGGAGGTGTTGTTTACGAAATTGAGAGAACGAAAAGCAAATGTCCGGCACTTTAACCGGATTGCAGACCAATTGTGCACATGGGCCCCAGTATCCTTAGGGAACAAATGGTGTATGAACCAATCGTTGGTCACCGGTTACCATGGTACTGCATCTCCTCACGATGCTCCACTGCCTTTTGGGTCAGACCCTTAGGTCAAAGGCTCGGGGTGTGGCCCCCTAAAAAAACCATCTGCTTCGGTCCGGGCACCCGGTCAGTATCACATCCCTCACACAAATCGAATGATTTATGTGGCGCATATCTACTTGGTGCCTTGTACCAATGTTTATGTGTTTAAATAAATAATTTTATCGTATATTTATTCTAATATAACTCAGTAGTGAAGTACGTGTTTAGATTACTGGACTTTAAAACTGCACGTGTGTGAATGGTAGTAACACTAACTGGATTCCGAAATTTATTGGTTAGAATTAACATTAGGTTTTTTAGTATAGGGTTATGGAGATTATTAAGTTATTGATTGAGATCTTGAACCGACTGATGTTATACCACCATTGAAAACCTGGAAGCACTGGACGGTGCGAGACTGAAGGCCCTGGGTTTGGATCCCGCTATCAGGATTGTGGATACTCACTGCTGAGTAGTCCCACAATAGGATGAAGCGACCGTCTAGTTGTTTTTAGGTTTTCAATCGTGGTCTAACATCAATCGGTTAAAGATCTCAATAGGTTTTTCAACCATTAAGCCCATTTTGACGTGTCGAAATCAATGTTCAACTGTTAAGTCCTTGCTCCCTGATGGTTGTTGGCCAATGTGTTATCAGGTACAGTTTGTTTAAAACCGTGTGTATAATTTAAGGTTGTCTTCTACATCAGAAACTCATATTAAAGTTCCACAATTTAGGTGTTTTTCTGTTTAATCAAACAGAACATTTTATATGCACATACTAAGGAATTAGAAACATCAGTATCGATAGTCCTTTGAGACTTAGGACTTAGATGGTACTAACAGACTTTGTTTATCATTTACAGTCGTTTATATGTGTTACATCAACTACTTGGTCACGGTCAATACAGTATACAACAATCGGCACTCGAACACGTAAAACCTCATAGTCGTAAATCAAAAGACAGGAAAGCGACTGTTCAGTTGGAGTCAGGAGGGTATTTATAGTTCTAAGTACAGATCATAATATCATTATAGTCCAGTCAATCCGCAAATAGGAAGTTATACAATTGTCCAATGATACCATGCCACGTTGATAATCTAGAAGATTCTGAATGAATAGGATCTTTGCGGCTACTTTTGAGGCTTCGTCGTGCTTTCTGAAAGACAGCCCGACAATATACTTGTTAAATAAACTATTAAGCGTTCGATATTTTCGTTTACTCTATTTTCAATACTCTCACGCAATCACTATTGTTAATGAAAGCTGATTTTTCTCAATTTCCCCCAACCAACCTTCATCAAATGAGGCGTATGTTAAGGTGCATTTAGCGAATACAGTCTTCAAATATACTTCTGCTTTTTAATTTGCCATCTATGTAGTTTGCTTTATGCTTACGAAAATTGAAGTCACTTTATCAGTCTTATCTCAAAAATTCTTTCTTGGAATACTTTCCATTCGTGACATAAAGCACTTCTATCTCCATTGGCAGTGTGTAAGGTGTCTTCAGAGGCTCTCATAGACCTGACTGGATGGTATGATCATAATGACTGATTAAAGCTGGAAGCTTTTAGGGTATTGTATGAATTCCGTACACAACTTTCTCAACCCCAAATGCTTGTACATAGATACTAACTTTTCCTAATTCAGTTCATCGATCATTCGGACAGTGAATCCACTATCGGATGATAATAATAAGACCTTCCAAAGTCGGTTGTACACGTCTAACAACATTAGCTTGGTTTGTGTATTTACTAAATCAACTTTTGTTGAAACATTATAAAATGGGTTAAACCTAAAAAGCACGATGCTTGTAGGCTCCATATTTTTCCATTTCACTACTAAAGCTGCTTCAGCTGAGATATTTGAAGTTTCGAAGGAAGTTGAAATACAAATTAGAAATTCTATATTATCGACAGAAAACCTCTGAAATCATTATTCTCAAATTTGATAGATACTAACTATAGTAGAAATACATCAGTCATGGTATTGCAATCGGACTAATATCAATTGAAGAATCCTTGAAATTTCGAGAGTACTGAACAAGTGTTTTGTTCTGACATGGAATTCCTCAACAGTGTGAACATTTGATACCATCAGGGATTGAGCTGAAAACCTCCAGGTCTCACACAGTTCCCATATCCAAATCGTAGTTGACTGAACTTTGAAAACAGCACAGTAATTCTTCAGTGTCATTGATAATGACTTCCTAGCTATCGACATCGTTTAGTGTAAGCACTCACATGTTTCGCTATAAAATCGACGACTTATCTTGAGGCAAATCGTTCAGTTGTTTCCCAACCGATTTTTTATTCCGCTTAACTGACGCAAACTGAATTATTACAGATCAATATACGTGTATACAAAGTTCTACACTGTTTGTAACTAACTAACTTCATTATTAACATTGAACTGCAATGAAATTCCTTTAACCAAATTACCTGTAGTTTTGATGGGTACATGTAAATTAGTTTTGCTACAATTTTTGTAATATCAAGCGGTAGGTAGACGAATGTATTGAAGATTACTTGTAATGAACAAGTCTTGTGATTACATAATTCATATAAACATTCATTATGTAACAAGTATTTCATTACATTACTGTTACATTTGAAATTAGGAATATAGTTATTTTGTTGTTAGCTTATACAGAGTTTTTGACTGAATGTAATCACTTATATAATTGTTATAAAGTAACATGCTAATCATTTTAAATATGAGATAATCAGCGCAAAATAATGTATTATCTATGAATGAAGAGAACTGAGTAGAAGTGTTATTCATCCGTGGTACGGCCGAGAGTTGAGAGAGTCAGCTCTTTCTCTCTCTCCCTCTCTCGAAATACACTTAAATGGCCACGTGTATACAGCCTATATCAGGGAAGTCCTGCTCATTGACTTCTTACACCACAGGTGTTGTTTACGAAATAAAGAGGATGAAAAGTGAATGTCCGGCGCTTCAATCGGATCGGTGAACACAGAGGATCCATCTACGGAAGTTGGAAAACCCTCACTTCAAACCAATGGTGCACATGGTCTGCAGCATACTGAAGGAATAAATGGCATATGAACCTATTGTTGGTCACCGACTACCATGTGACTGCATCTATTTACGTTACTCCACTGCCTTGTGGATGGGACCTTTAGGTCGAAGGCTCTGGATGTGACCCTCTATGAAGTACATAAACCCTGTGAAGGCTCTTTACTCGAACACAACTAGTCGAGTCAGAGCTTATGGCGAACTGTCATCTGCTTTTGCAACCTCAAGTGGTCTCCGTCAAGGCTGTCCACTTTCTCCATTTCTGTTTAACTTCATCATAGACCTACTGATGGAAATAACATTCTCGTCGACTGAATTCTCGGGTATTGATCTCCTACAAGGAGGTCTACTTATTGACTTAGAATACGCAGATGACATAGTCTTGTTTGGTGAAGACGTCGATAAAATGCAGAGTCTTTTGTTAGCACTAAGCAACAATGCCAGAATATTTGGAATGCGTTTCTCTCCCTCTAAATGCAAGTTGTTGCTTCAGGACTGGTCTGGGTCTACACTTGAACTAAGGATAGGGAGTGAAGCAGTCGAACGCGTCGACAACTTGACTTATCTTGGAAGTCTGATCAGCCCTAATGGGTTCGTGTCTAACCAAATCTCAGCAAGGATTCGAAAAGCTCGCTTGGCTTTCGCCAACTTACGTCAGTGCTTGAAGACACTAACCTCTAGTCTGAGCCATGTTGGTAGATGCAGACTACTTGGTTAGGGTCCGCGTGACTTTCGTAACCGATGGTTAGAGACTCTTGGTGACATGGCTCAGAATCGATCACAATGGCGTCGGTGCATACACTCCCTGTCTTCCCTTAAACTAAGAGATTAAAATCGCTTCATATCTTTCTTTCTACAAACGTATTTCTATATTCCGGTACTGTATCCTTATATGCAATCTTTCTCCTATATATTACCACCTTTAACCTAACCACTCCCATGAATCCGGTGTTCATCTTGCTGTGCTAACGAGGTATGGCAACCTGGACCGATGCATATATGTGCCTGGTACTACGTTGTAGCTGACTGACTGAACTTACGTCACCTATGGCGAAGGAGAGATGTCCGTCTATCAATAAAAGGACGAGTATACTGCGCGGCAGTTCGTTCTGTTTTACTTTACGGCTGCGAAACATGGTCTTTAAGAGTAGAAGACACCCGTAAGCTACTAGTATTTGACCACAGATGCCTTAGAAATATTGCTGTCATCTGCTGGGATCACCGGGTAAGTAATAGTGAGGTTAGACGCAAGGTATTACTGAATGATGGTAAATCAGTTGATGAGGTTTTGAATGTTCATCGACTGAGATGGTTGGGTCACGTGTTACGTATGCCTGAACACCGATTACCACGACGTGCAACGCTAACCGGTGTTGGAGATGGTTGGAAGAAAGGGGCGTACAAACCAAAACGTGGCATCAATCTACAAAGTAACTATCTTCTAGTCTTAGCCATGTTGGTAGATGCAGACTAATTGGTTGGGATCCGCG